CCCCCCCATCCACCTCTTTTCTTTGTCTGGTCTTGCTTTGCTGTCTGATATAGAAGGCTTTTTGGGATTCCTGTTCTCTGCATCCCTGTTGGTGCTGGCAGTGGGACTGGTTACCTCTAAGACCCAAGTGCATCATGAGACCACCCAGGACCTGCTGGAGGCCCTGCTCCATGTCTGCACATTCACAGTATGGCTTCCAACTGAAGTTGCCTCTGCCTTTATGGATTTAGTCATGATGTACTCTGGAGCTGTGCTTCTCTCTCGGCAGCTGCTTGGTCATGTAGCCTTGTGTCTACCACCCCATGCCTCCATTTATGTTTTCTCTCTGACAGTATGGCTGCCCTATGTGACTGGTGCCACCTCTCCTGGAGCAGCCTCCTGACTTGCTTTCTTTTGGGGCTGAAAGTATACTGGTTCCTTTTCTTTGGGAGACTTGCCACAAGAAACATTCTGCCCCAGAAACATTTGCCTTACAGCACCCCTTAGGCCCCTTAAACACAGAATCTCAGGTGTGATTTATAAAGTTCCATCAAGAAGAGGTGGAAATCACACCATCTGCTCTCTCACTTTCCCATTCCTATCCTTCTGTCTGTCTGTCCCTCCCACCTGCCACAATGGTTATTTTCAGGGGTGGGGGTGCTGGCTTGGGGAGGTGCTAAGCTGGAGTCTGAGTGCTGCTAGGGTTGTTGCTACTCTGTCTAGGCAGAAACTGTCAGAGCCCTGGGCTTATCCTTTGGGGCTCTTTCTTGGGGAACCCCTCTCCAGGGCTCCCATATGGACTGCATGGATGCTGGTGACAGAGTTGTCTACCTTTTTCAAGCTGCTTTTGCCACTACTGCAACGTTCTCCTACCCCAGAGTTTGGGTGGGCTGTTTTGCAGACTACCCCAGGGGCCCTTCACTATCAGCTGTGGAAGAAGGCAGAATTCACAAAGTAGTGAGCAGTGCACAGCTTAAGGATAGCGGGTCATACTCAAAGGGTATCCCATCCCACTTTCTTCCAATTTAGAATCCAGAAGGTAAGTGGGAACTTCAGAAGTTTACACTGCCTCTCCAAAGAGGTCCAGGAGCACACCTAGCATCCTAGGGCCTTGCTCTGGAGCATTTTTCCTTTTTAGCTTCTTCAAACTCCCAGCTGAATTTGAAAGACCCTTCTTTAGCAGTCCAGTGTTAAAGACATCTCTTAGAGTGGGCATAATGAATATAGATAGACCAGTCAGGAGGAATAGCCAGGGCCCCAGACCTGTCTGTATGTGGAAGTAGCTCCCTAAAGATGGAGGTATCCTGACCCAGTCTCAACTAGAGTGCTATCTTTTTCCTTTGACTTTCCTTCTATCACCAGCCCCTCTGTCTTCTTTCTGCCTCTTGGTGTTGATGAAGGTCAAAGCCACTTAAGCTACATAGCACATTGCTTAGCCTAGTGCAGGACCTCAATAAACATGTATTAAGTTTATAAAAGAAGCAAGCTAAATGCAAGTGCTGTCTTGTGTTTTGTGATCAGAAAAAGGTGTTCTTGGGCAAATTTCAAGACAGATGGGGCAAAGAGCCACAGGACATCTAGTAGCCTGGTTCTCATCATTGGCTTTGGCTTCCCAGGGGACCTGGACAGTAGCCAACAAGGTCTAGATGGTTCCTTAGGCAGAATCCGCTTTCTAGATTTGCCCTTCTACCATGGTCTTTGGCATTTGCCTCAGCTGGAGTAAGGTTGTTTTATCTTTTCACTCTGGGCTTTTTTTCCTTCACCAGACCTCTGTGTTCTGTTTTTTCTTAGACGTAAGATAGAGAAGGCAAGGCCTGAACTAGAATTCTTGTTTTTTGTCTGTAGGCTCCTGGAAAGGAAACCTCTTTTACTTGGTAGTTCCTGCAAAATTATGATCTCTATTTAGCCTTGTGTGGCTCTGCTTTCTTAACTAATCACTGGGGCTCACTGACTGGGTGTGAGCCAGTGGGGCAGGGCTGGCCCCGTGGCAAACGAACTGAGAGTGAAGGCAAGTGGTTCTTCAGAGAGTGTTAGAGAGCCTAGGGTAGCAGATGTCCCCTTTGTTTGACATGGCCCTCTCCAACCTCTGCAACTCACTACTTTGCCTGACACTGGCTTGGGAATTTCAACCTTAAGCAAATCACGTTGGCACCTCTGCTTTCTTGGGGAGTTTTCTTTTTCATTTAGCCTCTGCATGCTTCTCTCTGTCCTCTTTCAAGTAGGTATTGGAATGGTTGGCATGTAGTATCATCTATGGTATGGAAGAAGCATGGAACAAGCACTAGATCTTTCCATGTGAGACCTGGCATTACCTTTATTGCTTCTTATACAAGGCACTTGACCTAGGTTAAGTCCTAGAGTCCTAGAGTCCTTATAGGAAAGTATGCATACTCACAATACCTCTAGAGACTGTTATAGCATATTACTTCATCTTCACAACATTCAGTTAAATGAACAATAAAGTCTCCATTTCTCAGACAGTAAAACTGAAGTTCTACTAAGTGGTGGTGTCTGTCTTGACCTTATACGTATTGTTCTCTGTTGCTGTAACTTGGAACTTATGTCTTTAAGCCCTGGGTTTATGCTCAGTAATTTCACATTGAAGAGATATATACTTGTTACATAGCACAGTATCACCTGCATTTCTCCACACGTAAGTAATAAATTATACTGAGTGTTTCTTAACCAGCCTAGCTATACTGAACCACCTTGGACTTTGTGTTCCTCCATATGTTTCTGTATTTTGTTCTGTTCTCGCTCACTTTTCTTGAAACCCCTCTTGGGGTTTCTTTTCTTTGTTTGGAGACAGGGTTTCACTATGCAATCCAGACTGGCTTTGATTTCCCTCCTCTAGGTCCTCTGTGTGAGCCACCATGCCTAGTTTTTGGACTTCTTCTTGCCATCATACCTAGACAAAACAACAGCCATCTGGAGTGTGCCCTGCTGCCGACGACAGTACTTTTGTAAATGGCTATAGGCATGGGGCTCTTGTGGCCTTGCTACATATAACTTATTTCAGATCTGGTCTTTATCTGATCTCTGTGCCCAACCTGTCCATTGGGGCTATGCGTTAGCTCTGGCCCTGTAGCCAGTGGTAGCTAGAGTTTAGTATTTACTTCTTACTTTGGGATAAAACTGCCAGTGAGCCTCTTAGAGACATTTGGCAGTCTGATGTCTAGGTATTACTGCTTCCTTCCCAGGAGGTATCCTGGCAGAGTTCATAGCATTGAACCACTTCTCTGGTCCCCTACATGTTTCCTGAGTTTCACCTACCAGGCTTATCTTTCTCTTCCCTAGATGGAGTCCACCAAGAGAGAAATGACCCTTTTTGTCTACATTCTCAATAGATGTCTCAGTCCAGGCTATGGTAGTTCCTAGTCACAGGTGCTTGGCAACCTGAGCTTTTTGTAGACAAGTTAAACTTCCCTGTATATCATGGGACCAAAGTTCAGTAGTTTGTAGAAATCAATCAGTTCATTTACACTGGGCCCATGGTTGCTTTTTGTGTTGAAGCTAGAGGGTACAGTGTCTTTGGTACTACCACTGAGGTCTAAGATCTGTGATCCCATTTGCTCCTCAAGTTTCAGGTCTAACCCCCATTGGACAGACCCTTTGTCTACTGAAACCCCCATACCTGACTTGGGCTACATTTGCTCATTGGTTCAAACAAGTGATTGTGGTGCACTCTCCTGTCTATATTGAGGCCTACCTTTGTATCCAAATTTCACTTGTCTTCCAAGCCCCCTGTTTAGACTTGAATACCACATGTGGCTCAAAACCTACAGCAGTACTCTGTTTTGCCTTAGCTTTCAGGGTTGCTCTGGGGAGGGGTAGGTGCTGGGGATTAAACCCAGGGCCTCGTGCACACCAGGCAAACAATTAGCCATTGAGCTACATCCCATGGTGTTTGTTTCGTTGAGTCTTTCTTTTTAAAAAGTTTTGTTACATTTATTTGTTTACGTGTGTGTGTGTGTGTGTGTGTGTGTGTGTGTGTACGTGTGTGCCACAGCATGTGTGTGAAGGTCAGAGGACAACAAGTGGGAGTCAGTTCTCTCCTTTCACCATGTGGGTTGGAACTTAGGTCATCAGGCTTGGTGGCAGGTGCCTTTACCTATGGAGCCATCTTGTTAGCCTGAGATGGGGATCTTTCTATGTAACTCAGTCTGAAATAGAATCCACTGGGTAGCCTTAAGAGCTAGTATTACACATGTGTACTACCATGCCTGGTGACTCGATTTTATACCTGGCTGACCCTCACATATGTAAAACAACAATAACAAACAAACAAAAAAAAACATGGTGAAAGGGCTTGGAAATATTTGCTTTTCTCTCTCTCTCTCTCTCTCTCTCTCTCTCTCTCTCTCTCTCTCTCTCGTTCTCTGTCCCTCCCCACTCTCCTTCCCCCACATCCCCGCCTAGGTGGCCATGACTGTACCACATGCTTGTTGGAGGGAGAGCGCAGGGTTTCCTGTTCTCTAGAAATGTTGGGATCACTAATGAAATCTTGTAGGAGACCTGCTTTTCAACCAGGGTGCTCCAAAAGCCCTGCACTGTTTGCTATAGGTTCTGCCTGTTTGTGTGTCTTTCAAGGATCTTGACAAAGCCTATGTGCTTGGACAGTCCACCTGCAGGTGCTTGAGGGAACAGGACACTGGGGCCAGGTTGCCAGCAGACCATATACATTCCTGAAGTTGCAAACTCTATTAGGGAACAGAAAGAGGTTGTGGAAGAGAAGACATAAGCACACTGGGCATATCAAGGTTGGAGCTGTGAATAGGCACTCAGAGAAGCTTTGTAGCTCTACATAGTTCTGTGTTCCTATCAAGGATTGTTTTCTATAATTATGCCTCCATGTTGCCAAAGTCTGCAGGCCTAGACCTGGCCCACATGAGTGCAAGGGTAGTAGGCCTGAGGTAGAGGCCAGGCCTGAGTGAACTTTCTTCTTGACTGTGGGTCCCAGTGGGCTGACAGAAGTAGGCAAGCCCAGGAGGAAGATGCTGTGGTGTTTTTATAGGATGACATTTTTTCCCCCAATACATACTGTATTCCTGACTTTGTGTCAGGTATCAGGAGTCAAGGACAACTGCTAAGAAGGAAGTGAGGGGCTCGGGATGTAACTCGGTGGTAGAGGGCTTGCCTAACATGCATGTGCCCTGGGTTTTATCCCTAGCACAGAGAGGGGAGAAACGGGGAGATACAGAGGGAGAGGGAGAAGGGAGGGAAGGAAGGGAGGGGAGGAAGTAAAGGAGGAAAGAAGAGAGGAAGGAGGGTGGGTGGTTAAAGGTCCTGAGACTATGAAGAGCTTCGGCTCAGGTGACGAGGAAGGACTGTGCTAATGTTTGGAATTGGTGACTTATTTCCCCTAGAGATAAAAAGATGGAGGAGCTGACAGTGGCTTTCAGTCTTCTCATACGGGCACTATTCACTGAGGCAGGATTTGACTTATGTTCAGATCACAATAGAAACTCTGACCTCAGAAGAAACTGATAGGTCCTTACATATGGCATTCCTGGACATAGCCATAGCAAAAGGTAGGGTTAGATAATATGGCCCAAGTACAGATTATGAAAAATGTGGGCTAGAAAATCCATCTAGGAAGGAAGATACTGAGCAAAGGGTTCTTCCAAGGAAATGAATAAACAGGTCAGCTAGAGGCCCTGCCTACAGGCCTGGAGACTGCCTATAGGCCTGGTGGGGAGAACCTGGGGACAGTGAGACAGGACAAGATCAGATGTTTGTGGAAAGACCTTGTGGATGCTTCCTTGAGAGAGATCATGCTGAAATCATGGGGATGTGAGGTGGTGACACTACTTGGTGAGGTACTTACTGTGTCTTAGAGGATGCATAGCTAGGAACATTTTGGAACATAGAAGATGCTGTGAGATGGTCTGTGATGGCTAGAACCTGACCAGGAAGTGTGTCAGTCAGTTAATAGTGACAATAGCCAGAAATGGGTGTGCAGAGATATATGGAAACATGTGGAAGTCAGATTTGCATACTGCTGGGTTCCTGCCTTGGGGACAATGTGGGTGATACTCTTCCCCAAGAGGAGGACAAGACACTGGGCCCTGGGTGCTCTGGTCACTCCTTCCCGTGTACAGCCTTCCTTGGGCTTTTCTTCTAGGCCTCACGACATCTCCAACACAAGTGGAGGTGGTCGAGATGTGTGACTGGCCCTCTCCCTACTCCTAGCCCAGTGGCTCCAGTCTCTTGCTCCCTGGCCTCTGGGCACCTCTGAAGCCAGCCTGCCCTCAGCCCAGGCCTCCAGGGTACCCTTACCAGGAAGGAAGGCTTTGGTGCCATCCAGACAGGTACAGCTCTGTTTGATCCAGCTCAGACCTCTTGGACCCACACCCTACTCTGGGCGCTGCTTGAACCTCCCACTGCACTGCCTTGCAGCTGTTGTACCCTCAGCCTTCACAGCTTGGCTGTGGTTCTGCCAGCTCAGACTGAAGCCTAACCCTGGGGGTGGGCCTTGCATATGTCTCTCTTGTAATGGTGTGAATTTTGGGGTGGAGGATGGACAAAGTGACTTTCCTGGGCTTGTTACTCTGTGGGTTTCCAGTCTGACCTTACAGGTATGCTTCCTCTATAGACTCAACTAGCAACACTCCCAGGAAACCTACTACCTCCCCTTCTGCTGCCACCTCACTTTGCCCCAAAGTCCAGATGGCTCCATGAGGCCAGGTTCCATGGGAATGAAAATTTCTTCTGGGGGCTTTGCCTGTTCCCTGTGTATACGTCAGATGGTCCCGGAATCTTGGTGTTGGGGGTCCTGTTTGCCCTCTTTAGGAAGCTCTGTCCTGGATCTGAGCAGTTGGGAGGAGAAAGCCAATCAAAGGGATAGAAATGAAATCTCCAGAGAAGGACTAACCTTGTACAGTGGGAGGTAAAAGTTGACAGCTGCTTTAAAGGAACATGTTAGTTAGCTTTCTCTTCACTGTGACAAATTACCCGACATAAACAATTTAGGAGGAAAGATTTATTTTGGTTCATAGTTTCAGAGATTTCAGTCCATGGTCATTTGGCCCCATTACTGTGGAGAGCATCATGAAGAAGAGGGTATAGTGACTCACTTCATGGTATTTAGCAAGAAGGGAGAGGAAGGAAAAGATGGGGAGGGAGACCATCAGATTATAACTCCATCAGTGTATTCATAGATTATGATAGAGCCCTCATGATCCAATCACTTCTCAGTGATTGGGTTCACCAGCTGGGGACCAAGCCTTCAACAAATGAACCTTTTGTGGAGAGGGATATTTTGTATCCAAACCATAATGAGGGGAGAAGTGTTGAGTGAACTGCTGCTGGTATGGGACAGACACTGCTGATTCTGTGTGGTTAGGATAGTACCAAGGTGATCAGGAACTCAGAGGAGGGACCTTAGTTCAGTTTAGGCAGAAAAGGTATTGTGGGGGTGAGATGACAGCTAGAGAGAGGATGGTCAGACAGCAGAGAGAATGTCAGACTGCAAGGCATCAAGTGCCAGGTGCCTGCTAAGCAGCATTTGTGGTCTGCATTGAGAGGCACTCTCGGACATCTAACCAAGTCTACCTGCACATTCAGACATGTAGGCACTTCCCTTTCCCCAGTGCCTCCAGAGTAGATGGGCCTTACCTTCTGAGTTCCTATATCTGTAGAGTGTCCCACAGGGGTTCCCAAGCCTGGCTGCCCATTGTATGGTTGTGACTGAAGGCATTGTGGGCCTGGCCTGCTAACACTCTTTCTCATTGCTCTCTCCTGCCCATCTGCATGTGGCTGCTCTGTCTAGCTGCGCGGTGGTCCCGAGTGCCGGCTGTGTAAGTGAGCATGCCCATCCCATGCCTCTTGCAGTCCACATGCTGTGCCTGACCGCCCCTGTCTGCTCTGCATGGCTGTGTGGGGCTTTGGTGCCACTGACAACCCCTGAGACTATCCTTGGCCATAGTAAGGGGTAGGGATGGGAATAAGGGGATATGGGAGTGGACTCTCTGGAGTCACCTCAGGGTGACCTCCTTCCAGCCAGGCAGGCTGAGGCAAGGCTACAAAGTCCAGGATCCTGCCAGGTGAGGCTGGGAAGTGAGATACTCCCATCTGTCCTTGTGTGTCTGCGAGTATGTTACTGCATCCCTGTCACTACTGCTGCATGTCTGCAACCCATGTAGGCAACATTTCTGCTGTGGTATGCTCCTCTGTGCAGGGAGACTGTCTTCCTGACATGATGTTCTACTGCCTCATAACTGTGATGCTCTACCTCTTTTGAGTGTGAGCACTGCCTGGTGTCTGTCTTCAGTGTCATGGACCTGTTCGGTCATGTGTCACTGCCAGCCTTTATCGAGACTTAGCCATCTTTGAAGCCCAGGTGTCTCTGGGTTTCTTCAAGCTGTAGAGCAGAGCTGTATGTGGGGAGTGGTGAAGATATTATCCAGATTTTACAGTCCAGGGTGTTTGTGGAGGGAGCTCATGCCCAGAGACTGTTAGAGGCTGGCAGGGAGGGGCAAGCAGCTCTTGTCCATGAGAAACTCTTTGCTTTGGTGGGCTGCCCTTGGGGCCTCCATGGAGAGGGTGTGGGGGACCAGTCTTACTCCTTAGATTCCAGTTGGTTTAGGAGTCCTACAGAGCAGGGCACTGGCTCTGACTCAGGATGTTAAACAAAAGGTGGTGACCACAGGATATTCTCCCAACCCTTACTGTCCTGGCTCTGCTTACCTCTGCCCATCCCCACTTTACTTTCTGCCCCTCACCAGGGCCTCACCCACTCTCCCTCCGCAGGCTCTTCAGCAGCCTCGGTGAGCTGAGCACCATCTCAGCGCAGCGCAGCCCCGGGGGCCCGGGCGGAGGGGCCTCCTACTCGGTGCGGCCCAGCGGCCGTTACCCCGTGGCGAGACGAGCCCCGAGCCCTGTGAAGCCCGCATCGCTGGAGCGGGTGGAGGGGCTGGGGGCGGGCGCGGGAGGCGTGGGGCGGCCCTTCGGCCTCACGCCTCCCACCATCCTCAAGTCGTCCAGCCTCTCCATCCCACACGAGCCCAAGGAAGTGCGCTTCGTGGTGCGCAGTGTGAGTGCGCGCAGCCGCTCCCCCTCACCATCACCGCTGCCCTCGCCTGCTCCTGGCCCTGGCGTCCCCGGCCCACGTCGACCTTTCCAACAGAAGCCCCTGCAGCTCTGGAGCAAGTTCGATGTGGGCGACTGGCTGGAGAGCATCCACTTAGGCGAGCACCGGGACCGCTTCGAGGACCACGAGATTGAGGGCGCACACCTACCGGCGCTCACCAAGGATGACTTTGTGGAGCTGGGCGTCACGCGCGTTGGCCACCGCATGAACATCGAGCGCGCGCTCAGGCAGCTGGACGGCAGCTGACGACCCACTCCCTCTCCCATTCTGGCCGCGCCCTGCCGGCAGGGCCCCCACCCCTATCCCGGGCCGCAGGCTCGGCTCCCCGCCCCCCCCCCCCCCCCCCTTTCGCCCCCCCCCGCCCGGCGGGCCCCCCCCCCCCCCCCCGGGCCCGGGGCCGGGCCCCGCCCCCCCCCCCCCCCACGGCACCCGGGCCAGGAATGTTGCATGAATTGTCCTGTTTGCTGTTGCTCGGAGACTTGCCCTGTACATTGCTTAGTGCCCACCCCTGCCGCTGAGCCCCACCCAGCACACAGTAAGGGCGTGGACCAGGGAGGCTGGGTGGGAGGGGGTTGGGGCGGGGTTCTCTGACCTGACCACCTCCCTCACAGCTCCTGGTGGCCATTTTTCCAGAGGGGGAACCTAGTCCAGCATGCGAGGTCAGGACAGGCCTTGGTGACTCGGGGGAGGGTGGGAGGGGGGGAGACATTGGGGTTCTCGATGGGGGCCAAGGAGCTCCCTGTTTTGCATATTTTAATCCACTCTATATTTGGAACGAGCAAAGGAACAAGTATCTCTGTAACAGTTCCCTCCCCTTTACCCTCTAGCCCTCTCACTGGTCCTGCCACAGCTGCCCAGTCTTCCATCACCGGCCCCTCACTGCCACCCCATATGGGGCAGGGGCCACTCCAGCTGGTCTGGGGTTAGCCAGGGTCCTGACAGCCCACCCTGGGGACCCCCGGCTCAGCCCCCTTCCCTTGCTGAGCTATAGTATGCCCCACCCACCCTTCAGGTGCTGCTCAGGGGGAGGGGTGGCAGGCATTGTCCTGCTGGGCGCTAGCAGGGCCAGGTGGCCTGGGAGATTATTGCCCTGGGGCTGGGCCCTGATACCCCAACCCCAGCCATTTTCTTCACAGGGTCTCTCCCCAAGGAGGGGTCTAACCTCCTTCCCACTTCTTGGGCAACTACAGCAGAGAAGCCTCCCTGCCTCGCACCCCAAAGTCTCCCATTCCTGCCCTGTGTGTGTACACATGCGTGTGTGCACACCTGTGTGCGTGTGAAAACTGGGTGCATCTGAGTGCATGGGTGCCCTGTGTGCCTGATTGTGGAGTGGTCCCCAGGGGCTGTTCTGGATGGGTTGCGGGGGGGTCAGTCGAAGTTAGCACAGGATGCATGCATAGGTTTGTACCTATGAAAGCACCCTGTCTCCTCTTCTAAAGAAAGACTGTCCTACCCGTGGGTCCTGCTGTTTTCCCAGCCTGTTCTCCCAGAGTCTCACTCAGCCTAAGCAGGGTTTCATAGTGAATCCTTGCTGCTTGGGGAGGCCTCAAGGGTCCCCTGCAGGCAGTGCCCCCTTTGGGCTTCTGAGGGGATTGTGGGGGACCCTTAGAGTCAGGCCACTACAGCTCCTGGAGCGAGCAAAGACCCCTGAGGGTGCCCGGCCCCCTTACTGTGACTCCTCACACTCAGCAATGATCTGTGGGGTGGGGGGCCCTGGGGCATTTTTAAACATATGGTTTGGAGTCTGGACTAAGCTCCATTCACGTCACTCACAAGTTTCTGTTTATATTTCTAGCTTTTTTTAATAAAAAATAAAAGACAGAAAACAGATGTTTTCATGGCCCAGGGTCCTGGCACGCCGGTCTGTGCCCACCCACCCCACCCTGGCCCACTGGCCCCATTCCCTGGGCACAGAGTCACACTCATTAACCCTCTCACCAACAGACCAGGTCACAGAGCAGCAGTCACTGTAACAGACTGCCACATACACAGTCTCACATTCACCTGTGGGTTTTTGGTTCCATTCAATTTGGGTTTTTAACTTTACAGGGTCAGTTCTGCTTCATCCCTCCTTTTGTATGGAGTTCCATCTGGGGGCTTTCACCCCCTGCTCCAGTCCTGAGGCCTCCTGACCCTGACGTTGTGATACACCCCACAGAGATCTATGTTTCTTATATTATTAATAATAATTATTATAATATTATTATGTAATA